TTTTTTTTTTTTTTTCATATTTTATATTGATTTTATATTTTATTTCAAGTAATAAACACTTGCTTCAGTTTTTATGGTTTAGTTTTAGTTAGGTGTAATAATACTGGTCAAAAATCTGTGAAATTATATTTTTAGGATTTATTATTAAAACCAAAGACACCAGGTACAAAAACTTAGATACTTAGTTATACTTAGCTATAAAATAAAATAATAAAACTAAGAAAAAAGTGTGAGAATAGCTATAGTGTCAGCAGCTAATTTTAAATCGTAAAACGTGGGTCAAACACAATAGAAATACATTGATGACAATGATTACATCTGTTTTGTCAATAGAGCTTTTCTGCTTATACATCTTTATTTATTAAGGCCTAGTCGGTTCTTGGTAAACTGCATGGAAATCAGTGTGGCTCAGGTTGATCAAGAACAAGTAGGCAGATTTCTGGCTCAGCAGGTGCAGGACTCTGTGTTTGTGTTTCAGCGTGATCCTGTACGCAAGACTGAACTTAACAAGCTCGAGCAGACCTGCAGCAATGAAGATTAATCCAATATTTGCGTTTCTCACAGTGGTACACGAATGAATATCAGTAAGACTGGAGGAGAATGTTAAACAGCCTCGGACTGATCAAACACGCTCAAGAGTCACTTTTACCTTCTTCGTGAGATGGATTGTCCCGGGGCTTCAGTTCAGCTGCAGTCTATTGTTCAATTACCAGATTCACTTCAGTACTTCGTTACTGTAGGCTGCTACATTATTCAAGTATAGCTTTGCTTTATCAGAGTAGTTGTGTTTACTGTAATAAATTACATTACATTTTAAAGCATAATATTGTACCTTTTACCTCTACGTCTTATAAAAACATATCGCTTCCGTTATTTTGTTGAGTTGATTATTTTCAATGAAGCTGCTGACTCGGTTTGTGATCTGGACTGATCCACTTGCAGCTGTTTTCGAGTCAACAACTCACTGATTCAGTGATTCAATTAGAATGATTAAAAATGAAGCCAAGAACTCTATATCGGCGCTTGAGCGCTTGCGCGAGACTGGTAGCACGAAAAGTAGCCCAAGTTATTTAGGACTAATTGCAGTATTGTTTGTTGTAAATTAAATCACATTTAGGTCATGACTGTCCGTTATTTGTGAACTATTTAAATCTGCTGGAAAGAGCTGTTTGAGCCTGTTGAAATCATGTGTTTGCGTGTCACGTCTGCAATTTTTAGGTAAAATAACACAAATTATTCATATCCATGCATCTTTCCCGCTGCCAGTTTGAAATAATATCAAATTAATATTTCGGTTTACATATTTTGTCCCACGTGACATCTATATAGTGTCATTTTACTGCTTGTCGCCACATTACACAAATTTAGTTTTACCTCTTTTTTTTTTTTTTAAATACTATATGGTATTTTTTTTTACTTGTTGCACACTTAAATTATTTATATTTTAAGTGCATTTAAGTTGATTGTTTTGATAGTGTGTTGATTTAATAAAACAGTTGCTTGAGATATAGTTTTTATTATTATTTAAAATTATTCTTTAAATATTTTTATTTTTGTGTTTATGTTTTTTAATGTCTGTGTCTATTTTTTTAATGTCTAGTTTTTAATAATATATAGACATATATATAGGCTAGCTAAAATAAATGATTCATCAGTACATTTTACTTTTAATACTTAAGTACATTTCAAAAATCAAGTACTTTTGTACTTTTACTCAAGTAAAATTGAAACCGAGTACTAGTACTGGAATAATATAGTGTTATATGTAGGCCTATGTGATCTGTCCTGACATGATGCTGAGCTCCAGACCGTCCAGACTCAGATCTGTGGGATGTTGTCAGTTTTAATTTGCACACGCTTTTAACAACAGATCTGTTGAACGGACCCCCGCAGTCCCTCAGTCCACTCACTGACCGCCTGATGATGAATTCTGCATCCAGAACTATTAAGCACTTGATTTAATAACAGATCAACTGCAGCACAGATTCTGAGAGTCAAGATCTGAGTCAGTCTGCTGGGAAATAAAATTATCTTTAACCCTGTAAAACCTGACATGTATAGCTGACAGATTTTTTATTTACAGTGGGTACGGAAAGTATTCAGACCCCCTTACATTTTTCACTCTTTGTGATATTGCAGCCATTTGCTAAAATCATTTCAGTTATTTTTTTTTCCTCATTAATGTACACACAGCACCCCATATTGACAGAAAAACACAGCATTGTTGACATTTTTGCAGATTTATTAAAAAAGAAAAACTGAACTATCACATGGTCTTAAGTATTCAGACCCTTTGCTCAGTATTTAGTAGAAGCATCCTTTTGATCTAATACAGCCATGAGTTTTTTTGGGAAAGATGCAACAAGTTTTTCACACTTGGATTTGGGGATCCTCTGCCATTCCTCCTTGCAGATCCTCTCCAGTTCTGTCAGGTTGGATGTAAACGTTGGTGGACAGCCATTTTTAGGTCTCTCCATAGATGCTCAATTGGGTTTAAGTCAGGGCTCTGGCTGGGCCATTCAAGAACAGTCACAGAGTTGTTGTGAAGCCACTCCTTCGTTATTTTAGTTGTGTGCTTAGGGTCATTGTCTTGTTGGAAGGTAAACCTTTGGCCCAGTCTGAGGTCCTGAGCACTCTGGAGAAGGTTTTCGTCCAGGATATCCCTGTGCTTGGCCGCATTCATCTTTCCCTCGATTGCAACCAGTTGTCCTGTCCCTGCAGCTGAAAAACACCCCCCCAGCATGATGCTGCCACCACCATGCTTCACTGTTGGGACTGTATTGGACAGGTGATGAGCAGTGCCTGGTTTTCTCCACACATACCGCTTAGAATTAAGGCCAAAAAGTTCTAGCTTGGTCTCATCTGACCAGATAATCTTATTTCTCACCATCTTGGAGTCCTTCAGGTGTTTTTTAGCAAACTCCATGCGGGCTTTCATGTGTCTTGCACTGAGGAGAGGTTTCCGTCGGGCCACTCTGCCATAAAGCCCCGACTGGTGGAGGGCTGCAGTGATGGTTGACTTTCTACAACTTTCTCCCATCTCCCGACTGCATCTCTGGCGCTCAGCCACAGTGATCTTTGGGTTCTTCTTTACCTCTCTCACCAAGGCTCTTCTCCCCCGATAGCTCAGTTTGGCCGGACGGCCAGCTCTAGGAAGGGTTCTGGTCATCCCAAACGTCTTCCATTTAAGGAATGGAGGCCACTGTGCTCTTGGGAACCTTAAGTGCAGCAGAATTTTTTTTGTAACCTTGGCCAGATCTGTGCCTTTCCACAATTCTGTCTCTGAGCTCTTCAGGCAGTTCCTTTGACCTCATGATTCTCATTTGCTCTGACATGCACTGTGAGCTGTAAGGTCTTATATAGACAGGTGTGTGGCTTTCCTAATCAAGTCCAATCAGTATAATCAAACACAGCTGGACTCAAATGAAGGTGTAGAACCATCTCAAGGATGATCAGAAGAAATGGACAGCACCTGAGTTAAATATATGAGAGTCACGGCAAAGGGTGTGAGTACTTAGGACTCTGAATACTTAGGACCATGTGATATTTCAGTTTTTCTTTTTTAATAAATCTGCAAAAATGTCAACAATTCTGTGTTTTTCTGTCAATATGGGGTGCTGTGTGTACATTAATGAGGGAAAAAAATGAACTTAAATGATTTTAGCAAATGGCTGCAATATAACAAAGAGTGAAAAATTTAAGGGGGTCTGAATACTTTCCGTACCCACTGTACGTTTGTGTTGATTTGTGCCGCAAAAACGAACGTTTGTGCTGGTTTGGTGTTTGTGATATTAAAGGGGTCATCGAATGCCCATTTTCCACAAGTTGATATGATTCTTTAGGGTCTTAATAAAAAAAAGTCTGTAACATAGTTTGGTTAAAATTTAGTGTGGTAGTGTCAAAAACACATTTTTTACCCTGTCAAAAACAGCTCTTTCCAGAGCATGCAGATTTGTAGCATTTTCCTTTAAATGTTAATGAGCTCTGCTGACCCCGCCCCTCTCTTCCGGGCTGCTCTCAGAGAGACTGTTTACTTTAGCCGCATTCATCGTGAAACTTGCTAATTAGCACATTATTAGGAAAGGCGATTTGCAAAGATTCATTACAAAACATTATACTGTCTTCTTCTGTAGATGAGGCTGGATCACGAATGATTCGCACGAACATTGAAGCATTTATGTAGATCGGGGGAGCATTCACTTCAGAAACAATGTAATCCACTGCGTCTTCAGCGGCTCAGATGTCGGGAGTAAATGACGACTGCTGTTCATTATTACATCCAACAACAAAACACCTCAATCGCTTAGGAGTCATTCTTGTCTGCATCTGCTCCGGCGGTGAAACAATGGAGGACTGATGACAGCTCACTCAGGGCGGAGCTAAGATAAGACACCAGTCCAGTCTGTGCTGAAACGCTACTGTCAATCAAACTATTGTGGGAGGGGCCTGTTTTTGTGACGTCACACAGACAGGCATCTGAGATCGGCTCGATTTGAGAAAGGGGAAAACATTTTAGTAGTTTAAAAAAAAACACTGGGTGGATTTCTATCATTTTAGGGTGTTTGTGTACACACTGCCAACACACATTTCAGTTCAAACAACTTGTAAAAGTGCACGTAGCATCCCATGACCCCTTTAATCATTATTTTTTTGAGTGCGTGACATCACTCTCCACCCTATGTTGCCCAAATCGCTCCAAATCAGCGCAGTTCGTTTGTGCCGTTGAAATGACCATCAAATATATTTCCCCTTCTTAGAAATAACAAACAGAATTCGAGGCAGTGACGTCACTATCCGTCCAAATCTCTCCAAACCGGTGCCGTTCGTTTGTGCTGGTTTGTGCCATTAAAATAAACAATGTAACCATGACCTCTTCTTAAATATAATGAAAACTTCACTCTCCACCCCATTTAGTGCGGCCACAGAGTTTTTAGGTTGCTATGTGATAGATAGATAGAAGACATCGTATCGATCCATATCGATGAATCGTTACACCCCTAATAGATAGACAGACAGACAGGTATAGATAGATAGATAGATAGATAGATAGATAGATAGATAGATAGATAGATAGATAGGAAATATTAGATAGAGTGGAAGCCTAAATGAACGGCAGCTTAATTGAGTCTAATGGGCTTCAGTGTGTTTAGATTTGGAATTTCGACAGTTTGAACAGTCTTGGCTCATCTGAACATTCCGTCAATGTAAGTCTGTGGGATTTTTATGATTTTTAATCTTCATTTTTAGGACAACCGTAAGTCCAATCAGTTAGAAAAGATATAGCACACCCGGTTAGATCAGTCTGAAGAGCCGGGCTGAGTTTGTAGAGATAAAGCTCTAGGAGGAGATAGAGTCTAGAGAGAATTTTAGTCTCAGAAGAATAATAATAATAAGTTTAAATAACATTTCAATAAGTTGGCTTTTGGCATATCATATTACTGTACATAATTACATGTCTACACATTTTTGATGTTCTTCTTGATTGTCCCTTGTACCTAATTTAGAAAAGATTCTCAGTAAATGCATGAAATTGTTTGTGGCATCACCAAGTACACGTGGAATGGGTTATTGTTATGTATCCAGCTATGGTGTAACTTAGAGGAAAACTCTGAATAACTTTGTGATTGTGAACGGAAACTTCAGAATATGTACAGAGTACAAATAGCATGGACTACTCTTTGTGTGACTGTAAAAAATACAGTTTGCATTTGCAAAGATGCGATTTGTTGGCATTTACACTTCAAGCACACAGTATCTACCACTGTTTACATTCAGCATACATTTATTCGACATCTTTTACACCATACTTTTCTATAATTCACTTCATGCCTTGGTGCAGGGTATTTTTGTCCCCAACAATGGGACAAGATTAAGTTACCTCCTCTAAGATACACAATGCCATGCAATAATCAAATTGGTCAGTATTTCCAATTTCCCAGACAGTATGTTGCATATGCTAAGCTCCCAATAGCATGGCAATAAAAGTACATTGTTCTTGAGGGAGCATTTTCCCCATGACACACATCTATTGTGCACTGCAATCATGGCGGATTTCACTGTTATAGCTTGACTAACCAATACAAAGACATTCATCAGATGGGTCGCAAAACAACGGTGCTGTTGCACACATTGGTAGTGTTATTGTTAACAGCGCTATGTTTATCAACCCCATGCCATACAATAACAACAACATGCTAACAATGCTAGCAGCACAAGCCCAGCTGGCCTTGCAACAGAAACTGCGTTTCTATTCAACGCACAATTTCCTATTGCTTTATAAATGTAGGATATTTTCCCAGTGAGTCCAGATGCAAACTTGTGTTTTGTGTTTGCGTGCATGATGCTTTGATGGAGAGCTGCTACTCACCAGCTGCACGCATGAGCTCCTGCTCGGAGGAGAGTCGCTGAAGTCAGTGTCGAGCGCTCCGATTGGACGAGTGAGTACACGCGCGCCTGCAAGCAGCCAATCACGTGTCAGATCTCAGTTTTTAATGTTCTGTTTCTCAATCAGTCGTTGGAGATTCATCAGAGTAATAAATAAATTAATTAATTAATTAATATTTATATATGGATAGACAGATAGATGATAGATAGATAGACAGACAGACAGATAGATAGATAGATAGATAGATAGATAGATAGATAGATAGATAGATAGATAGATAGATAGATAGATAGACAGAGAGACAGATAGATAGATAGATAGATCTGATCACCATGGCAACCCCTGCGCACACTGAATGCAGGGAGGTGTGTTACCCAGAGAAGTGCAGAAGCGTGCCGGCACGGAAGAAACACAAAGAGAACACTCTCAGAGACAATCCTGATGTTCTGTATGCTGACTATATTCAACTCAATGCGAGAAGAATCAAGAACAACTTCATTTTCTACACCACTATGATTAGTGCTTGGAAACTGGCCATCTGTGAGGAATACAAGCATGTATTTAAAGAAGGAATAGGCCGAGGTGGAAGACTAACTATTTGTGAAGCTGAAATGCTAGACACAGACAACCCCATTCTCACTATAACCTACTACACTAAAGGCACCTTCCTACTGCAAGGCAATGAAGCAAGCCTGAACTCATTTGAGGAGATTTTCCCCCTGCTGAAATCCAGAGTAGAGAAGGAGAGAGACGAGACTCGTGTGATCTGCACAGACTCTGAGGAGGAAGGCCCAGTGAATCCTCCACCTTCACCATCCCAACGTCAACTGAGAGACAGTTTAGCCCTACTAGAACTGGACTTCACTGAATTCAGAGAACACACTCAAGCACAACTCTCAGACACTAACACAAACATTTACATCCATGAGCGCAAAGATGAACTCCAGCAGCTGAAGAACAACACCAACTCTTCCATCACTGAACTCACAAGAGCTCTCAGAGAGCTGCAAGAAGAAAACCGAACTCTCCGCTTACAGCTATGCAAACTAGAGGAGGACACAGAGAAAAAAGAAGAGAACTTCTCCAGACAGCTGCAAGAGATGAGAGAACAGTTACAGAAAAACACAAAAGACAACACACTTCTTACAGCTTCTAATACAGACAAATCAAACTACACAAACACAGAAAGTGTACCTACGACAAACACAGAGATACCTGCAGCAACACAGGCCTCACCCGCCCAGGCCCCAGAACCTGATCCAGATGTTCTCCTCCTCATGGACTCTAATGGAAGGTTTGTAGACCCTCAGAAACTCTTCCCACACCAAAAAGTCACTGCAAAGCGATGTAGCACAACAGGCCACGCCCACCAGATCATCAGAGACGTCACAGGACACCCCTCATGTATTATCATTCACACTGGGACTAACGACCTTCACTCACTACGCAACAATACTGCTGATGCTGTGAGGAAAATGGCAGAAATCACCAGCAAAAAGTTCCCAGAATCCCGAATCATAATCTCTACGCTTCTCCCAAGACAAGACACACCCCCACACATCATCTACAGCATCAATGCTGAAATTTCCCTTGGCTGTTCTGCGCTCCCCAATGTACACCTGGCCCACCACCACCACATCGGCCTCCAACACCTGTATGATGGACTCCACCTACACAGAGACGGAGTGCGTATTTTTGCAAAGACCCTAAAGGATGCAGCCCTGGGCCGCAGTCCAGCATCACCGAGACACTTACTACCAATTCCAGAATACCAGCGGCCCATTCACCCCTACATGCCCAGACATCCCCCTTCGGCCCCGGTGAGGAAAGACATCACCTGGACAAACGTCACACATCGTCCACCACACCCACCAATGGCTCCCTACGCACCTGTAAACCAGCAGTCACCATCTTCACATCCACCTGTTGCCCAACAAACACCAGTAAGCAAGAAGAAACCAAAAGCCACCCCACACCAAGAGAAGCCCCCACAGCTGAGAGCACAGAGCTACGCTGAAGCTGCAGCCCGGCCCCCTGCTGCACCCAGCACCTCCACACCTGCCAGCGAACTGAGCCACATCAGAGAGATGCTGCAGACACTGTGCAAACAGCTCCTGAACAGATAAGGACAATATGCACAAACACAGTGCAATAAGATTGACAAAAAATGCACAAAAAAATAAAATAAAAAATTGCACTAATGTAAATTGTTTACCATATACTGTACATTCTCACAGGTTATTTTCTCTCTGTCTTACAAAATAGGTTTATCTTTGATAATACTAATGCGTTCATTTCATATAAGTTGTTGGAATATCCAGGGTCTTCATTCTTCAACTTTTGGTACTAAAAGCACAGACCCAGAATTCTGAAGAATCTAATCTCTATATTTATGAATAAAAAATTTGAAACAACTAAAGATGGTGTTAATTTGGCTACAAATGAAATCAATTACATATTTCAAAAAGCAGCATATATAAGTAAATTGAAAAAGAAAGGCAAAAAATTCACTAAAAAAACACCAAAAGATGAAAAATGGTTTGACACAGACTGCAAAACATTAAGAAAACAACTTAGAAAATTATCTAATCTGAAACATAAAGAACCATACAACACCAACATAAGAACTGAATATTGTTCAAATCTAAAACAATACAAAGACACAATTAGAGCAAAAGAGCAGCACCATCTGACCAAAAGTTTACAAGAAATAGAACATTCAATAAACCATAATCAGTTCTGGGATATGTGGAATAATCTGAGCACAACAAAACCACAAGACCTACCAAATAGATAGACAGATGATAGATAGATAGATAGATAGATAGATAGATCGAGACAGACAGACAGACAGATAGATAGACAGACAGATAGACAGACAGACAGATACATAGATAGATAGACAGATGATAGATCGATCGATAGACAGATGATAGATATAGACAGATGATAGATAGATAGACAGATAGACAGATAGATAGACAGATGATAGATAGATAGATAGATAGATCGATAGACAGATAGATAGATAGACAGATGATAGATCGATCGATAGACAGATGATAGATAGATAGATAGATAGATAGACAGACAGATGATAGATAGACAGATGATAGATAGATAGATAGATAGATAGATAGATGATAGATAGACAGATGATAGATCGATCGATAGACAGACAGATAGACAGATGATAGATAGACAGATTATATATGATAGATTGACAGATAGATAGACAGATGATAGATAGATAGACAGATGATAGATAGACAGGTGATAGATAGATAGAGACAGATGATAGATAAACAGATGATGATAGATAGATAGACAGATGATAGATATACAGATGATAGATAGATAGACAGACAGATGATAGATAGATAAATGATAGATAGATAGATAGATAGATAGACAGACAGATGATAGATGGATAGATAGGCAGATGATAGATGGATAGATAGATAGACAGACAGATGATAGATAGATAGACAGACAGATGATAGACAGACAGATAGATAGATATAGATAGATAGATAGATAGATAGATAGATAGATAGATAGATAGATAGATAGATAGATAGACAGATAGATAGATGATAGATAGATAGATAGATCGATAGACAGACAGATAGACAGATGATAGATTGATCGATAGACAGATGATAGATAGATAGATAGACAGATGATAGATAGACAGACAGACGATAGATAGATAGACAGATGATAGATAGACAGATGATAGATGGATAGATAGATAGATAGATAGATGATAGATAGATAGACACACAGATGATAGATCGATAGATAGACATTTACAAATATCGCTTTAAGTTACGTAATCAGATTACTTTTGCATTACTTTTACTTTTAATTTGCAAGACAGTACAAGAAAGTAGTTACTTTTTCAAATAAGTTACTTTGTTTTCCCATTTACTGACAGTCCTCCTGTCCCCGTGTTGAGAGCAACTGGAGTAAGAGCAGAGGCACTTCCTCCCATTTAATAATAATTATAATAATAATAATAATTATTATTATTATTATATGGCTTTTATTCAAAAATACTATTCACTTCATAGTAATAATAATAATTATTATTATCATCGTAATCATTTATTATTATAAAGTGTGAACAGTTTATTTGAATAAAATAGCACCCTGCCAAATTCAAAGACTCCATTTAACAAATTTCATTCTGCAAAAATTCAAGTATTGCACTAGACAGGTCACATGACATACAAAAACAGGTTTATATTCAAATGAAAAAGGATTTCTACAAAAATCATTACAACAATTAGCAGATGGCAAATTTGATTTCACTGTTTTTAATCAATCACAAACATCAATCAATTTAGCAGTCACACAAAAAATCTATAAAAAACCTCTTAAATAATAACCTTAGTGTCACTGAACTACAAACAAACCATAGTCTATATAACTAAACAGCATTAATATCTTGTACCTAAAATGTCCTATAGAACATCAACCTCTCAAACAAACAAATAATAATAGCATTCTCTCAGCATGGTTCTCAAAACACACTGGACAGATAAAGATGACGGCAGCCACGAACATTCCAGAGAAGTTTTTACGATAACAAGATCTCTCCAGCTGATTTAGCTCTAAAACCCAACCAATCCAGCAGCGCTTCTCTGGCTTCCTGAAGCGCTCTGTCTGCCTGAACCCAACTGAGACAGACTAGACGCTCTCGAGTTAAGAGCCGAGCACACGGATCCATTCGCTCTGGAGGACGTTGAGGCTTTGGACTGAGGACTGACTGAGCCGCCTGAGCGAGAGCCTCCGTCAGCCCTCTGGTGGTTGGAAGAGTAAGAGGACTCTCGGCTCCTCTCAGGGGCCTCAAACTCAAGTGGCTCCTGTAAAGGTGGGGAGGTACGACACAAGCTGACTGAACTCAGAGGCACTTCCTGTTGGGAATGAGGCCGGGGAAAGTCTTCAGTGTTAGCAGGAGGTTCTGAATGAGTCCTGGATTCAGGTTGAGGGATGTCTGCCGTCTGTGTG